ATACGATGATCCAAATATTTTCATCCAGTGAGCGTCTCTTAGCCTTATGTCTTCAGGCTCTCCTAAACCCAAATTTCAACCCACGAAAACGGTAATCGACATATAGATCTGTAATGTAAATGGGTAACTGTGATCAATATTTAGCATTCAAGAGATGAAAAGCCACCGATAATCACTGTAGTACAATACTGAAGGGGCTCTTTTTCTAAACAGAAGTGTATATCTACTCAGTCGCTCGTTCGATTAGTTCAATTTGTTTGTTCTTAGCTGGTGATAATGCGAAAAGAGCAGTTTTTATGGCCACGGCCTTCGGGAGTAGGTTACTACTCCCACTGAATAATGCAGTTCTATAGGGGCATAGCCTTACGTAGCCATTTGTGTTAGCCACCCGCCAGTGTATTGTGAGGTATGATCAGCTGATCAGAAGCAGGTGCTACCGGACGAGAAGCTGATGGTGCCGCTTCTGGGAGCCAGAATCGTGTACGAATCAAGACCGTCTTCTGGCGCTAGGCACTTAATTGTTTGGACATTACTGGTAGGCATGCTGTGTCAGTAGTACTAACCGAGGCCGCGCATATTCTTATGGAATGATTTCATTGTCAGATAGCCAGCAAGCGATACCAGAAGCTCGGTAGTGCTTCTGGAATCACCCGCACTTTTATCACGCACACTAGACCTCCCGTGGGGCTTTACTTGGGTCTGGTACATCTTCGCTCAGCAGCAGCGTCAAGGAGAAGATCTCTTGCCTGCCTAAACATTTCTCCGCTTTGAGAATAAGAAGTCCGATGCCCATGTATCATTAGGATGATGGGTCTGCTAGAAGTCTGGTGGTTATACGAAAGAATAGCGGTGGACAAATTATGTCGATCATCTATCTATTCAGTAGCATAACGCTAAAGAGGCTGTAGGAAGTTCATGTGACGCAAGTGTGCTGAATTATAGATGGCTCACTAGTGAAGTTGCCTCTTTTTAAGCGAAAGGCTTCGCCATGTAATACGGTGAGCTGTTGAACGCTATAAAAAAACATGACCATGGCTTATGTTCGAAACCCGGTTTGAAGCATACAGAGGTGCCACAACTATGGTGCCGCGCGTTTTTTTTTTTGGGGGGGGGGGGGGGGGGTAACGATAAGATATTGTGGGTGACGAAGAAAGAAGTTGCAAAAAAAAGTTCTGCGGCCTATTCACATCCATGTGGAGAATAGATGAGATGCTGTGGTAACGTATCATGATGGTGATGATCATGTCCTGCTTTGCGAAGTTGTCGACACGAGATCTACTTCAGGAGGTACCCCAGCATCGCCAAATGTTCCATAAAGATCAGGTTGTTTGTAATAATAACATGTAATAAATTTATAATGGGATATCTAGCTGTTCATACGAAGCTAGGTCTTGGTAGAATGCTATATATATATTCGTCTTTCCACAAACCTGGTGGCGTTCCAGCCGGTCAGTTGTTTCGATGTTTCGCTTCCTTCCGGGAATATGAAAAGCTTTGTCTTGTTCTTGTGAAGCTTGCGTTTTTTTGGAAAAACATATTTTTTTAAATTCTGGAAACAGCCCTGGCCAATTGTGAGATATAAGGATCCTCACGAATTATGAACCTTATCCACGAATAGGGTCAAGTATCTCCTCTTGAGAATGTTATATTATCCGACTCATATTAATACCATCTTCGGTCACCCAAGGTCTTTCTTAGCTCGGTTTCAACTAGCGTCACTTGCGCCTATTACGACACGGTGGCCTATCAGCTTATTGTTTCGTGTTATTTTTTTTTGTTTGAATTTAAAATGAACGAGAAGGGCCTTTAGTTAGGGTTATATCATGTACGTTATTTAAACCCGTTGAAAATTATAGCTTTGACAGGATCGATCTTCCGGTCAGAATTTTACCTTGTAGTACGGGTCATGCTGTTGTTAATGATTCTACGTTGATTATCTTTGTGCATACAATTTTTTTTTTGATTTTAGCGTAACATGCCTGTATCATATATTTTGTGCCGAGCAAGTTAGTTATTGCCAAGACTACAGACGACCTCAGCAGGGGCGATTAGTTTAAGAATGAAAGCTGTCCTTCAGATTCGCCTGTACCCGTATATTAGTAAGCTCCTTTTGAATAATACTCTCTGTGGGCAGAGAGTTGCCAAACTGTGTGTCTTCGGATGCGTCCCATTGGCAATAATGGTTAATAAGGATGTGAGTGCCTACACATCTCTTACCCTACCGGAATGAGTGATCTATTTCATCAAATGCTGCTTACATACGATTAATTCATCAAGAAATGAGAATGCCTAAGTATGCCTCTAAAGCCTCTAAACTCTGCTAAATAACTAGGCTCTGTCCTTGTAGGGCCCTACAAAATGACATTGTCCAGAATCTTGCAATTCGGAGATCACTCTGTGCACCAAGAACTCAATAAGTGTTAACTCACCCCTTTTTAGGAGCAACGGAGATTTTGGAAAAAATATCATTATTATAATATAATATAATCTAACGATACCAGCCGTGGCCAGTGGGTACAGGAATACATTGAATCTGAGCTTAGTTACATTTCATACAACAGTCACTAAACAGGTTACTTACAGCGGAATTATCATAATATTTATACTGCTATTAATGAGCAGGTATTTTTTTTTTACCTAGGCACTGTAATATGTTTGTCGAAGATTAAATGAAAGCGAAAAAAGTCCCCTAATCGAAAATCATAATTAGGATGTTACTGGCAGTCGAGCCATTAGCTTACAAGTTTGATCATTACAAACATTGATCACTATCGTCAGACAGGCTGGCAATGTTTGCACCCCTCTACGATTATTCGCCACTTTTCTCTACCTTGTTGCCTTAGCTCTCTAAAATTGTTTACGATAGCTGGTTATGGCTACGAACCTGGCAATATGTCTTCCGGGTTTTAACATCTACATATAAACAAGTACGAATTTAGCCTAAGTCGCTCACTGACTTTAGTTTCGTAATCGTTTGTTCGTGAATCATATAATAGCTATAACTTGTAGGGAAATTCTCACGATATTCGTAGTAGATATGCCATCAAATATGCTCCCTTGACGACACAATTCACTGGTTCCGCAAAGGTAAAATTGGTTATCTGGTCTGACTCATTGTAGTGGCAAACACGGTGACCCAGCCCAGTGGCTCTGTCCTTCTAACCGCCTTTCTTGCCCTTATACCCTTTATCAGGAATCTTCGTAACGAACCGTCTTTGTATTTGTTATCGCCACCATAATAATCGACCATATGATGTCAATAGAAGCGAATTAAGAGGACCCGTTAGTTCGACCTCGGCTTGCGGTATACCGTAACAGTTATTAGTAATTTGAAGCATTTGAAACCTCAGAAGAGGCGAGCCAAATTTCATCCAAGGATATAGCCGACGCTACAGTCGTATGCCAATTTTTTCGATGCCACTTAAAACGGGCTCAGAAGCGCTTCATTTAGTGCCCAAATCGCCCGGTTGTTTTAGAACCTTTGGAGCACTGCGCTTATTACCCTGTTCCTGCACTTTGGTCGTTGGCTTTCCTGTCATCCTGTCTTATTTCAACTGCATGAGCACAATTACGGCAAAAGGCGATATTATTTCCACATATTCAACTAACAATTCCATAATTTTGTACAGGTGTATATAACAGGTTAACAGTCATTGTAATACCAACTTTTTTAGAAATGAATTAACTAAGAAATCTAAAAACGTTGATATTCTTCTAAAAATTCTCTATCGATCCCTTGAGTTGAAGCACATATAATAACATTATAGCCGACCATAGTATGGCCGAAAATAAGAAACACTGTCAATGTCTGCAACACGCGTTTCCATCATGTACACAATTGATCATAGAGCTATACACTAGCAAGATGTCTTGATGACGCGGCTTAGTCGGTCATGGTGGTAAAAGCAACAATGGTCTATATCACCTTCTTTTTGTTGCAGTAATAGGTTGACACAGCTGTAACAGACAACCGTACTGAAATCATTTCGCTCACTTGCATTTCAGCATCGAGCTTTGACTCAATCACCGCCCTCCTGCTTATGATTTTACTTAGCTAGCTATTTGAATACCGTATTAACTTGGGCGAAAGGCCTTAAACTCTATCCAGCTAGTGTGAGAACGTAACCGTAACCCCACTTCATTTTGTTGCATAACGCCCTCCCATATACAGACTGTATATACGTTCTATCTAATCAGTGTATTATCACGTTCCCGACCCCATCGCAGCAGTAACAACATAATCAGCAACAAACATACCAGTAATGACAACAATAGTAACGGCACCGAATAACGAACCGCTACCACGTTTTCATACGAAACAGCGTCTGCCCCCCTGTCCACGTAACCGCCAACGTTCACGCTAGCGCGCCAGCGAGTGAAATAGGCACGAACGTCGTCGCTGCAGACGCCACCGTCGCTTCGCCTTCTATCATTAAAAGCTCTTCGTCTTGGCCAGCGGTTACCCCATCACCAAACGAATCTACGCCGGCACGACAATGTTGGCACAACATGCCTTCACATGAGGTAGATCGATTTTCCTGCAGGAAGAATGCATAAGGCAGCAACAGGAAGAGCCCAAGTATCACCCACACGAAGGCGAGGGCAGGTAGAAAAAGGTGATAAAAGGGAACCCCGATGAAACGAGCTATCGTACTAATTGTGGCTGTATAGTTAAATTCGTAGCGTCGTGCCTGGCCCTGTGTTGACAGAGGACGAAACTTGAAAGAGTATGCCTGAAAAAAAGCTCACATATAGTAGATGGTAGCTCGATGTGCTATGTACGGTGTTGTTAGTAGGGACGCAAGTGCTAATATGAATAGGGAATCAATATGCCAGTCATTTTGGTGATTTGCCACTGAGCTTGTTTAAACTAACGGCTGACACAAACAAATTCTGCTTTAAATTCGTATACACATTGTACACAACGAGACAATAACAGGTGATGTCCTAAAATAGCTGCGCTTCACTTCCGGTAGTATGAAATAGATAATAGCAAAAGCAGCTATTTTTAGGATAGAAATAACGTAGTTAACCATGCATTTGGTAAACTAAGGCGAATTGACATGATGATTCTATAATAGATATAGAATGGCACCTTGCGATAAGTTAAACTGGGATATTACATTGTGTACGGTAAGTTGGAAAAGTTCTTTCTGAAATAGCGTGTAACACTTGAAACTCAATCTGAGCTTAACTATAATCGACTACTTCCCTTGACTTGAAATATAATAGACAATTTAATTTCGATGCACATTTATGGGAAGGACCGAGAGTTTTAAATTCTGCCCAGTGACGAATTTACCAACGTAACACAGAGATGATGATGGTCACATGCAATGGGTTGTGGGCCTGCCTCACGACCTATTATTGGAGGAGCGATTTCACACACGGAGCTTTATTATGCATGCGAAACCTCTCTTCTGAAGAACCCACGTCATCGAGAAGTTCTCTATGTGCTCTTAAGTTCAACACAGAAGCCAGCCCACTCACGGCTTCTTTGTTATATTGTTATATAACTTTGCGATATTGCGTGCAATGGGTGCCATCACTTTGCGACGAGATTGTTGACCTTGAATTGATGGCACGGTACATTTCTACAAATGGCCAGCACGTCTCTTCCACCAGCTCTCCGAAACTGAAGTAACTGATGCGCATACACAGTGTGTTATTTATTGTACACACAAAGTGCACAGATCCATTGGCGCTGTCTACGATTTGCGGCACTTCAATTCAATTCAATTCATAACGTTCAGTTGAGGTCCGCCGTAGGGGCGTAGCTCGTTCCTCGCAGATTTGTGCGTGTTCACCCATGTCCACACCATTTACGGTAGGGATGTCGTGTTCATTGGCCCGACTCCGTAGTATTTGTATTTAGGTTTGGACCCGTCAGGCCAAGTTTGACACTCATCGCCGTACTAAGTAACGAGTACACACATTAACCATCGTCAAACTTACGTCCACGTAACATGGAGTGAACAAAAGTAGGTGAGCTGTGGTCGTTTGCATTTCAAACCCGTATTTTAAATACAATAGTAACAATAATAGTTTCTAAGGGAAGCACCGGTGCGTTTGTGGGTTCACAGCATAATTGCAGGTGGCGATAGTAAAAATTATCTGAACATTTGGTAGATAATTACATCCTATACACGTATGAATAGTGTGTTTAAATGTACAGTAGAGGGATATGGTGCTGCTTGGAAAGATAGTGGTGGGCAGGGTCCTTTGCCTGTTTGTGAACCAACGCATTTTGTGATTCGCCTTTCGTCTCCGAATAGCTATCGACGTACTGTATACGTGCAAACTTTCCCGAATCGTCAGCATCATCGACGAGCAACTAATGATGGCCAGTCGTCGTGGCCGTCTTACACGGTCTTGATCTTATCAAAATCGCTGCGGAAAATGTGTCACGCCTTCAGATTGTTATTTACTATTTTAACCATACTACTCTACCCAAAAACTAAAAATTATTTCGACTTTTCCATTAATATCATTCTTCATGTTTAGCAATTGTTGTTCCTGATGACCACGCACGCAATGGGTTGATCGACTATCTATAGACAGCGTGTATGCTACAGACGGACGTTTTCAAATGGCCGATCGTTACCTACCAAAACAATAGCAACTTTAGGCGTGTCCAGCCAGGCGATACGGCATACGTGGTAAGCAATAAGTGCGGGCAGCTACCACTGCTGTGTCTGTCATTGCTGGTTTTTCCAGTGGCGCTACATTTAAATTCGGATAAAAAGCAACGAAAACGGTGCCTAATAACGTCGTTTTGTCTTAGCATCGCCCTCATCTACTACCACGATTGTCACAGTTCATTCACGTTTACCTGCCTTACAGAAGCGGCCAGCAACAGGAATCTAGAGCTATCTACAAAATGTTTGATGACACTGGTCAATCTACTTCGCCTTTTTTTGTCGCCCAGGGGTTTGTGCGTCGTTGATCTTTTCTTCTTGCGTGGGCAAATCGCTCACGTGAATGAAGCAAGGCTGAAAACAGGTGAAGGCGTGATTGCCCCACGGTTTACTTCGAGCTATTGACACTGGCTAAACAGACGTCAACCGGTTCTATCAATGGATCTTTTAGTTAGGGTTGGAGCTGACGCCTTCCCGCAGGTTCATGCCGGCTGTATGAGAGAACGAGGCATATGCTAGTGTGAAACACTGTAAAAAAAAGACTGGCATTGCTGAGATGCGTATGTCGTGCATGCGCCTCGAAATCTGTTTTTATAAAATGTACAAAAAACGTCAACAGAAATAAATAAAATGATTCGGCCATAGTTAAGCCGCATGCGAACACAAGAGTTACTTTCTGCTAATTTTTCTTGTTGGTCATCTTGGCAGTCGAAGCATTACAAAGCCTTAAGGCAGAAAAAGGCTCGTTTGGACGTAAAACATGTGTTATGTGTATGTATGCATGGATCATTTCGACAACGGTTCTAACAATGTTTTCCGCGTGTGTAATAAATAAAAATTAAATTTTTACGAGACATCTACCGAGCTCTACATAACAAACCTGAAATTGTACTTTCGAAAAAAAAATGTTTCGCCATAGCTTCAAGTGTTACGGTATGATGAATATATATACAGTTGGTTACGGTTGCGAATTCCTGGAAAATATTCTTATGTATAAAATATGTCACTTAGAATCTCTTATAATAAATAATAACTCTTAAAATATGTCTCAAGCATAGCTTACATTTTCTTTGGCGGCCTATTATTTAGTCAGCCAGCTTCAATATTAGGTAAAGGATGAAGCTCCAGGGGTTAAATGTCACAATGTAGTAAAACGACTCCAATAACTTTGGATACAGAACTTAGGCCATGTAGGCCTGAAGTCTCTTTAGGCTAGGTTATAGGGAAGAGTAATAAGACATATATCTGATTAAAATAGATACGAATCCACATGCTATAGTGATTTGGTCGTTTTCTTTGTCAATTTTTGTACTTTGTTTTTCACAAGCCAAAGCAAGATTTAGTCGACAGAAATTCTGAGAGCTTGTTTATCCGCGTAGTACTTATATTATAAACGATATATAAAGCAGCGCTATTTGGTTGAGCAAATCTGTCTGTTGCTCACTATATAATTGCATATACCTTTTTGGCGTAGGTGAGACCTAGTGAAGCCAACGTAATATATTCAACCTTTGCAGCTCAAAAAGGGTTTAACGCGTTCATGTAAAATGTAACTACTGCGAGGCCTTTAGACTGGTATTGACGATTTGCTGATCAAACGATGGTCTACCTTTTCGTCGTGCCGCGTATCGTGCCAAACAGATTTACATTTTACACCTGACGTAACTTGCTAGGGCGACTTGACTGCGTTGCAAGTAATTACTCTTTTTGTCAAAAACAATTTTTTCCGCTAAGGGACGGTATTCATCTGATAGTTGTGAACCGTTTGTCAACGACAGGTGACAAATACAGCAAGACACATTAGGTCGTTAGAGACCTAAGCAGGAAGGGAGAAAGATCTCCTAGAAGAGATAAAATGCCTTTACCTATGCCAGCCATAAAAATGTACCTAGACTGAGTGGATGCAGTCGATAGTAATGAAGCTTTCCGTGGCACTGTCATTAGAATCTATAAAGTCGGAAGTTGTGAGACACTCCCGTCCGACAAAGGGTCAGCTAAGGGAATCCCTTTAGAGCATTTCTATAGCCCGATACAGTGGCATAAAATACTTACTAAATATTAGTAATGGAGAGATTCTGGCGTTTCGATATAGAAAACAGTCATTGATTTGGAGGCTTGGATAACAAGTTCTTGCGGTATCCGTATGGTACGAAACGAATTCAACACACGAGGTTAGCGGATGTGTATTAGAGATCTTGAGCCACCTACTTTCTCTACTTGATTACGTACATATGGGATATGGTAAAAGCTACCGAGTGACCCCAACACGCCGATGATAAGCCAAACCGAGCCAAAGCTGAGGAACCTTTTCATTCATCATTTCAGGTAACAGAACACGCCGCAATGACTAGGTTCGAGGTTATATTCTATTGAGAAATGTCGATTCTTTGCTTGGGCCACTGTTTGCTCGACAGCCGTGTGCTTTCCTATGTCTTTTCCCTTCATTCTGCCTCTTTCGCGATAATTTCAGTTTACCTATTCATCTACTGGTAAGGAACGTTCATTCGTCGACATATTATTTTGGAAACCTTCAGCAACGCTCGGACGTTCATTTTTTTGACCTCACTGTAGGGTCTTACTGCCCCTATTCTTTTCCACTCGTACCCCTATTCGACCGTTCGAATGCGTATATTAGATAAGTCGACGGGGTATTCCGCGTGGGCTGTAGGGGCTATGGCGGCGGGGGCCGAATCATACAGCGATCTTTAGTTAGCGATGATATCATCGCAGCAAATGTTAGTCTTTCCTTTCTTCTGGTTTATCTTGTTCAATTAAAGAAATTCAGATGCGCGCGACTCTATGTCGACGTACTGTACGTATACGCTCAACGACACAGTGAGTCTCTTCGTGCTTCCAGTAACTGCGATAGTCATATGGTAATTAAGGGCAGACAATGTTCCTAGATTCCTTGATGATGGCAAACTATTTTTGCCGCCGCAGCTGTTGGACTTTTCTACGACGAGAAATGTACGTGTAGGATCTCCTGACAATGGTCGGTTATTCGCTGAACCTCGTCGAATATTCGACGCTGATAGTTACCAAACGAACTGGCAAACCGAAGACTACGTACGGCACAGATGAACCGAGTCGGCCGATTGGACGAGCCACTCTGAACACATACAGCGTTTTATGATATATTAAAAAATCTGTAGTATTCATTCAAGAACGATGCGACATTTAAGATTGTGTAATTAGATTCGATTTTAACTGCTGTTTACTTACTTACTTTATCCACGGATCGATAAACGAGCAGGCCTGCAATCGCAGGGAGAGAGACTGATGCGCAGCCATATTGACAACAATATATATGTATGGCTACCGATTTAGCTTCCCATGGCAATCCTTTTGTTTTGACTTACAAAACAGCTTTGTCGTCTGCTCGAGAGGTTAACTTTTTCCATCGTAAATCCTGTACCGCACGCTAGGTCAGCGCAATTTAGGTTCGAGAGAAGCTCGGCTTCGTGGTCGACACCAACGAATAGGGCCGAGCATAAATGTATACTTTTTTTTATATTTGTTGTTTTTGTTTGTATAATTATTCTGTGATTCTGAGGTCACATTCAATTACTCAGGCGGAAAATTCGTGGTGTTGCCAAGAGCCACAGCTGCAGCAGAGCGAAGACGAGTAGAATTAGTCGATTTTACTGCAACGGAACGTTAATATGGCGCTCGTAGACAACGCAGGAGGACGTTGATTTCGTCATCGGCGATCGTTTCGCCTGACGGAAATGCAGACCTGCACGCCGATGGAGGTGTCAGCGAAACAACGCGAAATTGCTTGCGGCAACCAGAACCAATTGGCACTGGTGCCATGTGGCATGGTCAATTCATTAATTCACTTTAAGAATATAATTTCTATGATCAAACTTTTGAACCAGTTGAATCGTTCCGTGGTCAACGCGGAGCAAAATCATAGCCCGTTTCGTTTGTTCATAAGGCTACTAGGGCTGCCGCAGCGGCATCGGTGTAAGTAAGCGTCGCGATTTTGCCGTCCTACCAGATTTTACCCATTCCGTTAACGAGCCACCCATATCATCCGTTTTAGTTTCTAGAAGATTCATCGCTGAAATTAACTGGGCCGTAAAAACTAAATGGAGAAAGTGGCTTGTTTATTTATTATTACGTCTTACCATGCATAATACCTGCCGTTAGTAGTCTGCATCGAAATTATAAATGGCGTAGGTGTGTAGTTCTTTGAGTGAACCCAGGCACGAAGATGATAAGCGCCATTTTTGGAACGCACTCCACATGTCCACTCTTGTAATGTGTACTATAGTGTAGATATTAGGTGGTGTTCTATCCCACGGGATGTGTTTGCTAAAAGCGACAAACTGGGTCTCAAAAGCTCTATATATATATATATATATATGCTAAGGTATTTCAGGTACCTCCTATCTGGGCAGATTTTTTCTAGCAGAATATACCCGTCCACACAGATTTAGTATAGTTTCGTTGAACCAAGTAATTGAACGACCGCGTTGTCTAACAATGATGTAACACTTCCGCTCCGCGTGGCGATATTTCTGTCTGACGCTTCTTCCATTTTGATTATGTAGGCGCATTGTTGTCGGACGCATCAAAGATTACGAGAACAACATAGTCGACTTTTCTTTTATATAGGCTTAATATACGCTTAATATATATATATATATATATATATATATATATATATATATGAATAGGTGAATTAATAATATTTTATTCGTTTTATATGTTTGGCTAAAATATTAGTGACGCACTTGTTGAATTTGTTTTTCCATACTTCCATACAAAACTAGCTTTCAAAAGTATGTTGACTGAGAGACTAAATGGATCATCGGGCCCGTAATTTTGCTGGGCTGATTACGGCTTTCAATGAACGATATAGCTAATGTTGTCATAAAATAGAAGTGATCCGTCAACGGCCAGTAAATAGTTTAATGTTAATTCGTTTGCTCGACGAAGTAAAGAAGAACGTGGATCGAATGTAGAATAGAAGATAAAGCGAAGTTATATATATATATATATGTGTATATAAATCGCTTAGTCCCATGACGTCCGACGGTTCCAATGCGGCAAAGCAATTTCTGGGTATGACTTTTCAAATTAATACACAGCAAACAGTATATGGAAGAGGTCGCTCTCACCAATGACTGCCTTTGTTTCGATTCTATTTTGATCGTTGTTGAATCAGCGTATTTTTTGCTTTTACATGTATAGGCTCAGACAACAGATTCAGCATTTAGAGCGATAATGTAATACTAGTTGACAGGGCTAATAGCTGGACTTTTACCGGTAGATAGATACACGATGTCAGAACGGATCTCCTATCCGATGCTATCCTTTAAGGTCGTCCAACAGTCACTTAGAAAGTGACTGAATTTCTTGAGAAAAAAACACTTGCTACCCAATAGCTATGGCTGAATTGCAATTTCGTGCCCAAAAACGAATCCATCTCTACGTCCGCGAGAATCGATGCATAGCGTACAGCATGGGCTGAAAATCTTTTCGTTGTACAAGGAAAATGACGGCTTTCCGGCTGGCTTCGATAATGCAGCTTTTAGCCTGAAAGAGTTTTGAAAAGATAGCAAGGCCCGTTAAGTGAAGTAGGAAAAGCGGCAGAGGAAGCCAGAGGAGGACATTCAGCAGGAATGGCAATCAAACACTGACCGAGTCGGGAAGGTGAAATAACTATATATATATATATATATAGTGTGAACGAAACAAAAAAAAATCTACTGAAATATTAATTCCCCCGAGGCGCGTACGTTCGCCTAGAAATCTTATAACACACGAAGATAGTATTGCTTATACGGTAAATAGTGGTGTCATTTCCTGGGTCCGTCTGAAGCTACTACGGACGAGATTCTCATTGAAGTTTGTAATAGGTGGATAAATATGGATACTTCTCAGTGGCGCTTCTCTATTGTTAGTTGAGCTGTACGTTATCATATTGTATCTGCGTATACGCTTGAGCTGTTCGT